ATCATGACACTTTTGAAGTGTTTTAGGTGACTCTCGGGATCGGAGTCCCCTTTGAAGTGTGTAAACGAAGGTGTGGAGAATCGCTTTGGGGGAGCAGCCTGCTCGATTTCGGCAGTGAAAGGTGTGGAGCTTGCATGGTCGATCTCCTTGCGTAGTGCATCGTCGAGGTTCCCACCAGTCTTCAGATCTCGAAGTCGGTCATTCATAAGCTTCTCGACGTCCTCTATGCACATTGTTGGTCGATCACGTTGGCGACCATCGCGATTCGGGCGACGTTGACTGACCTCCTCCTGGGTCTGCGAGTGTCGACCTTCTCGTCTGCGCTGCCTAGGCGGAGTGTTGGTGGACTGCGCTTGCGAGAGATTCTCCGTAGTTGGTCGACGAGAGCCGTCTCTTCGTGAGTGAGCAGCGGAGCGTCTTTCTTCGCGGTCCTCATTGTGAGGATTATCCGGTTGACCACCCTGGGGACGTAGCCTCTCGTGAATGTTCGTCTGCGAGTGGACAGCTGAGCGTCTTTCTTCACGATCCTCGTTGCGATGGTTGTCTGATTGTCCTCCCTGGGGGCGTAGCCTTTGAAGTACATTTCCCTGCGGTCCCAAGCGGGCGTGGACGTCAAGTCGTGGGCCTAGCCTCTCGCGCACGTTGTTCCTCGAACTTAATCTGCTCCGAGTGGGGCTCGCGGATGCTTGTGACATGTCGGTAGGCCGATCAAGTTGTTGTCCCTCGCCTTGTCTGCCTACTCCTGCTTGACCTGCTGGGTACCCGTTGAGTTGCCTGCCGGTGCGTTCGTCCATCCTTCTCTCTTCGCCTAGTTGTCCAAGGCCAAGGTTTTGAGCCAAGCTGATTTGGTGGAGGAGTTGCCTCATCAGATCGCTTTGGTCGTCCATTCTCTGAGCTAGCTGGTCAACTCTCAGACTAAGGTCTGCTTGACTTCGTGGATCAGGAGGAGAGAAGTGTGTGGAGCCCAATTGCACACGGGCTAGGGTTTCATTGGAGGTGTGCGCGGGAGCGTGTGTCGAGCGTGGAGGCAATGAAGGGATCGCTTGAAGTTGCTCCAAGATCGGGCCTAAGTCAGCGGTGGTAACAAGCCCACCTTGATAGGAGGTTCCACCATGTTCGGCGGCGGTGGCCGGTGCGGTGGTGAGAGGTGGTGGGGCCACCATGTCGATCGCGGGATCGTGGGCGGAGTGGCTTTGGGCCGTCGCGGATTTAGCCATCGCGGCGGTTTTGCCTCTCGTCTTCATGCTTCCAACCATGGTTGTTTGGAAGGCTTCGGTGGATTGGAAAATAGGAGGAACGGATTCCTTGAGCACGCGTTGAGTATAACTCGTGCTCTCAATGAAAGCACCAATTTGGAGGGAATGATTTTCCCCACGAGAATATTCGTCAAAGATTCCTTCGTCTTCTCCGCTTCTCTTTCTCCCTGCAAAACAGATCGGAGTAAAAGGACCACACCCGGGGGGTGTTGGCCAAAGGCCCTCCGATGCCTAAGTTAGGTAAGGTATTTCAAGGAAAACCGGGTGGCCGGAGCCGTGTGTGGTGGCCGGAGCCTTGTGTAAGGGAGAGAAAGAAAGTGGTGGCTAGGGTTTGTGAGAAATGATTTCTGCAGAGTTTCAGTAGGAATTTAGACGTACCTTCACCATTGTGTGTGGCTATGCTTTTATAATGGTCTTGGAGGCTAGGGTTTCAGAGGAATAATTCCGTAGATGGAATGGAATTATTCCTCCCCTTTATGGAATTGATTTGATTAATTAGGGATTTGATTTATTAGGGTAAATCAAATCCCTAATTGTGGTAGGTATCAAATCAAATCCTATTTCAATTAGGTAACTCCTCATTTAATTGAGAATCGGGGTAGGAATTAGGAATCAATTCTCAACCCAATTAGGTAGTCTTCAATTTAATTGGGTAACCCCCAATTAAATTGAGTAACTCCCAATTAGGTTTATTAATTCCCAATTAGGTCAAATAATCCCCAAATGGAATGAATTATTTGACCTAGGGTTTGGCTTAATTTGGTTACCACAAGAGGAAGCTCGCCGCTAAAATGATTAGAGTAGAGGTCAAGGATGGCAAGGTTTGTGAGGTTGACAATTTTATCACTAATGGCTCAATGTAGTGAATTGAGAGATAATGCAATTTCTTCAAGTTTGGTAGCATTATAGATATCTTCTGGAAGTAATCCTGAGAGGTTATTGTGACTCACACGAAAAACCTGCAGTTTGGAACACTTCCCTAGCCCAGGAGCAAGGTTGCCACTGAATACATTGGAAGAAAAATCCAATAGCCTAAGGGAAGGAGAAGAATGGAGACAAATAGAGGACGGAACATACCCGGTGAAGGTATTGTTGCTGACATTGAAACTTGTCAACTTGCTAGCCTGTTGGAAGAACGAAGATGGAATTGCACCAAAGAAGTTATTGCTAGACAAATCGACTGTCCGGATATTGCTGGATGGTAGAGAAAGTGGTAGCTTTCCAGAAAGACGGTTATAGCTCAAATCAAGGATCTCAAGTCGATTCAAAGACAAGAAGAACTGAGTTTCAGGTGAACCATATAGTGAATTGTGGGAAAGGTTCAAGTGGGTGAGATGTGTGAGATTTCCAAGTAAAGAGGGAGAGATACCTCCTTTAAGCCCTCTGGAAGGCAAGAGCAAATGGGTGACCCAACCATCTGGATCACAAGTGACGCCCTTCCAACGACAGCAATCAATGAATGTCCAATCTAAAGGAGGAGAAGAGAGAGTGGAGGCAAAGGACAGGAGGGAGCTGCGTTCAGTTTGTTTGCAGGCATGAATATTTGTAGATATAATGTAAGAGAATAAGAGGAAGAGAAGGAAGGCATGAGCCATTAGGTTATAAGCTTGCACTAGCATGTTGCTTTGTGTATGTGTCGTTGCTCACATGTATTTACATATATAAGAGCAACGATGCTTGAAAAGTATGCAAACATCACTGCAAATTGTGTGGTTGAAGAGATATTCCCATTATTGCCGCCAGGAGTGGAGTTGACCTACTTAATTTAAAGTCCACAAGGCCTTCAAAGTGCTCAAAGTAAGAAATTTATATCATTCGCTTTCAAGCACAAGAAATATCTTATTTCCCTTGCCAGTATCCAAGCTGGTTGCGTTACTTTATGACAGTTGAGTTAAATTGCAAATGTCTTACAACTTGTTTATTGCTTTCATTATGATGATAATTTTTCATGGAATTTGGAAGATAGATGGTGTTATTTTTCTTGCCAGATAGATGTGGCCTGAGTGTGACAGTGCCAGTCAAGCCTGATCTAACATTATACATTGAAGTCCTATTCATGTTCAAAGTTGTTTTCTTGTTGATGATTCTTCTAAGAAAATTCAAAATTGGAGGATAGTCATTCTTTCAAAGTTGTTTGCCCCAAAAGAAGGCAACTACTATAATAACGTTTCTTGGTAGAGCAATAATGTTCAACCCTCTGAGTGGACACAAGTTAACAACTACTTGCCGAACATATTGATAGCAATCAAATGAGCCCCAACCAGGAATAAGTGAATTGTGTTGAGTTGTGGAGAATGATTCTGGGAGGCGGGTGTTTGGATGTTGGCATGCGGATGTTGCATTTGTAGTGGAAGATAGCAATTCTGTAATTTCGAGCAAGCTGCAAGCTAAAAGGCAGTTCTGTGAAAGTTGCATCTAATTTTTTGATTTTCTTATAGTTAGCTTGAAAGCAATGCAATATAAAGGATTCTGAGGTGAAGGACAAGTATTTCAATGAAAGAATCTGAGGTTGTATTTGCCCGTCTAGATGATTTAAAGTCAATTGAATTGCTTTCAGGGACCTACATGAGTAAAGGCTTATTGAAAACGTACCAGTAAAGTTATTGACTGTCTGGAAGTTGGCAAACAACCACCAGGAGATGACTTGATCTACAATGCAAATTATTGATATTGAAACCCCTATATTCGTCCAAGTGATATTCCCACTAATGCCACCAGGAGATGACTTGATCTACAACGCCTTCAGAGAGAGGACTTTTAGAAGTTTGTGTTTGTTGCCAAAAAAGTAATAAATGCAAAGTTAAGTGCATCTTCCATGTCAATCAAAGTCCAAGTTGTTTTCTCGTTGAAAATTTTTCTAAGAAAATTGGAAGATGGTCATTCTTTCCAAGTTGTTTGCCGCACATGAAGGCAACTACGTAAAAAAATATCACGTATCACTGACAAGTGGCAGTCATTCACAAAGAAGTCCTTTCTACACAAATGGCACAATGTAAAATTTAAAAGGATTAATTATTGATACGGCCTTTGAAACTCAATTTGAATCTCACTTTGCCACTTAAAACTCAATTTGTCACACTTTACCCCCTGAAACTCAATTCTCTGTCTCACTTTGTCCATATTCATTAACTCCATAAAAAATAACAGAGCATTGAGTTGTGAAGAGCAAAATGTTGAAATTGATAACAGTCAAGCCATACGTTGATGCATTCATGTTATAAAAATATTTTCTATTAATTCATATTAGACTAGATAAAATAACTTCCATGTATTAAGTAATCAAGGGTCACAAATTTCAAATTCCCAAAAATAAACAGTGAGAAATCACAGCAAAAAACACTAAAAATATGCACAAGACGCATCGGATGAATTTTTAAAGCCAAGATATGGAATCAAAGTCTCCTTCAATTCTCTGCAAATTCTAATTCAAAGTCTCAAAAGAGAAGTTTTTTCTGCCATCTTGGGCCAAAATTGGGCCCAACATTTGGAATATGAAAGTATTGTCTTCGGGCCTTCAAGGCATGGGCTGGACATGCATAAATAAACACCTGAGTTCTATATGATCCGACCCATTTCAGTTTCGGACTAAAACGGGTCGTCGTCGTCTTTCTCAGTTCTCTACTTCTCACACAGGAGAGTCTGTAAAAGGAAAAAGAGAAGAGCAATGAGTGGAGAAGAATTAGCGGGCCCCCCAGCTCCAAAGCTCCTCCGTCTGCTTTATTTTGTCGGCGCTGGCTGTAAGTCATGAATTTTCATTTCAATTTTAAGTCTTCTTCTTCTCCCTTTTTAAATGGTTGGCTGATTTGCACTGTTGGAATCAACAAATGGCTTGAGCTTCAGCGCAAGTCCATTTTACAACAGCAGCAACAGCTCCCTGAAAATGCCGCAAATGCTCTTGATTGATCTCCAGGTTTAAGGCAACTTTTCAATTTTTGTCGTGGAATTTGGCAAGTAAGCTTGATCTTTGGCTTCGTTTTGAGTTTGTATGTGCTGCTTCAACTTAACTCATGTTAGACTGAGCTTTGGTAGTTTGGTTGTTAAATTATGTGGAAAATGGTGCAAGAATTCATGCCTTTCAATCTGTTTGAATATACGAAGTACCTATGTGTGCAAATTTCTTTGGCTTCATTTTGAGTTTGATCAAATTGCTAATCCGAGTATTCAGTGTACAAATTTGAATGGTAATGGGGATTGTCAAGATTTCGATTTTGTATACATTTGTGCTTCTTTTGTGACATTTTCTCTCTAGTTTATAGTTTGATTCGGGCAGTATACAACATTCTTGAGGATGACTCAAATAGCGAGATTATTGATATTGAGTAAGAAGGTGAGATCATTGGTGTGTGTGTGCGCTCGCGCGCAGTTGGGGTGTTGCCATTGTGAGTACCAAAGAGCTTTCTCATCTTAGAATATGTATGTCTATTGAAGCTGTGGATTCTAATCCAAATCGAGGCAAATTTGTCATCTGTGAATAATGCTAGGTAAGAGTTCAGGCAGTCTTTATCTAAGATGCTTTGGCATAAGGTGGCTTGGGGTTCCCCGTAGAAATACCATAGAATGCATGCTTCTATTTATTCACTTTGGATAGTCATGCATTGCACTATTTTATTTGTTGGTTATCAGAACAACCTACTCTTGAAGATTGTAATTATATGTTAATGGACCTTATATTTGTGCAGATGCTACATTAAACCATCTTCAAGTATATAAACAAGCGTGTTTTTTAAGTTATTAAAGAAATTGGAACTTAATGCCAGTATGACAATAGGCGATATGTATGTGATTTGTATGGCGGTGAGAGTTCGGTAGTTTTCTACTGTTACGTCATGGATTTTGCAGCATGCTCCCTTTCAACTATCCATAATGCAGGCGATATGTCTTGCTTGTGCATAATCAATTGGAGGTTCTAACTTCTAACTTCAAATAATGTAGCCAAAACCGTGAGGCAATCACTTCATTGAGTTCTGCAACCTTCACATAATGCAGGTGATATGTAATGCTAGGTTTCTTCAAAGTTTTACTCAGTTTCAAAATAATTTGTTAAAATGAGTTTCATGAGAATAGAGTTTGCAAAAATTAGTGGATGTCTACCACTGCTTTGAGATAGTTCTGTCAATGGTGATTGTTTGAGTCTGACAGTCTGTTGGGTACATATAGTTCTCTGTGGCGGCTAGATGGCTGGATGCAGTTTTTCATTTGAAAGCCTTGAGGGACTTTTGGAGCTGAAGCTTTCGTGTTTGTTTTTGCCTAGATACATTCTTTTGTCGAACTATATCAATAAAGGTCATTGATTGGACAGAATCATATCTGAATATGTGGTCAAGATTTAAAGTTCGACATTTCAAACTATTTTAAAGAACGTTTCATGGCTTTTAGATCAGCATCTCTTCAAACCAGAGATTGGGGTCAACCCTCAACAAATTCTCTGTAAAACCTCCAACCATATATATGAACACGACAGCGGGTGAGCAAACAATTGACCAGGGCATCAGAATGTTCTACAGTTTTGCCTGGTGATTGCATAAATGAGACAAAACGCCGCCGCAAAGGCAAGTGAACGAGTTCACATACATACAAATCTTCCCATGTTCTACACGCTTCCTGTCAAGCATTTTGAAGATGGATTGATTCTTTTGACAGAGGAATCTTTGTTCCTTTTAACATTCTCACTACCCTATAATGAAATTAACGAAACCACCACCATTTCAAAGGGGAAAAGGTGAATGAAAAAAAAAAAAAAAAAAAAAAAAAGAAATTATTACCACATATTAGCTCTTCCACCACCAATAATAGGGTTGGGGCCGTTACAGTCTTCAATTCTCTGGTAGTTGTGCAAGAATCTACCAAAATCAACTTTATTATCAGACTTTATTAAAATCAAATGTTACAAATTTACTAATATGTGAGAAGAGTACACACAAAATAATTGGTTACCATGAAATGGTGACCACTGCCTCATTTTTTTTGTAGCGTGAAGAAATCACATCCGAAAAAGAAGACATAATTATAAGAACAAGCAGTGCTTTATTACATCAGAAGACATAATTAAAAAAACAGAGAAAATAAATCCTCCTCCTCCAAAGGATAGAAATGTTGAGGATTTAGACGGCAGGGAGGAAATTAGTGAAAAATAAAAGTTCATATCAATAATTTTCCAAAAAGAGGATAGGGGTAAATTGAAAGATAGGTACAAGTTCAGGGGCAAATCAAGAGTTAGGTACAAATTCCTCCATAACTTTATGAACCGAACAACATATATCCTTTAAATTTGAGTCCAGTTACTTTGAAATGAAGAAGAAGAAGAAAAAAAAAAGGGTAAAGCAAACTGAAAATGCAAAATAAAAAGTACAACATTAATAATATATATCTAGCCTCTAAGCCTTCTTTCATCATGTTGATGTGGATTGTTATCAACTTATCATCATATAGAGCCTATCTTGTAGATTGTCTATGAATCGAAAATACGCATATCTCCATGTCTTGTTAATAACTAAAGAACCACAAACACCCCAAAATCCTACTATGAACCCCAATGTTGCAAAGATATAAAACCATGGAAGTTGATGAAGTCCATTTTCCACGTCTTTGTTGTTCTTGTTATCTACGTCCATGTCCTTATTTGGTCCGCACTTATTTGGAAGTGGCGCACCACAAAGTTTTGGGTTCCCCTCAAACGCAGAAGCGTTGAAGCTTTGGAGTTGAGTGCTTGTTGGTATTGGTCCTTCAAGGTTATTGCATGAGACATTAAATTCTTTTAAGAAATTAAGGCTCGCCAATGACAATGGGATTCTTCCAGACAAGTGATTCATAGAGAGGTTCAAAATCTCTAAATTTTTTAGGTTAGATACTTGCTCTGGAATGACGCCGGAGAAGTTGTTGGAGTCAAAATACAACTCCTGGAGAAGCTGCAATTGGCCGATCTCAGTAGGTATATCACCAACAATGTTATTCTTAGATAAGTCTATCATTGCTGGATAAAAATACAATTTTTGCGTTGGAAAACTTGATTTGCGGTTATGCTGCTGAATGCGTAGATAGGCAATTCAAATTCATATTGGTCTACTTGAGATGGAATATTAGGTTCATAAAGCAACCTTGGTAGTCTACAAAGTTGCTTTGGAAATTCACCTGAAATTTGGTTGTCTCGCAAGCTTATATAAAACAGTCTAGGAAGAGTCCCCAACCAACTTGGAATTGACCTTGTGATTTTATTACCATCCAGATTCAACATCTCTAGATACTTGAACTTTGATAACCATACAGGTATTTGACCACTGAGGTTAGAATCAGCCAAATTCAATACCCGAAGATTTTGGAATCCGTCAAAATCAACCATGTCATCATCAGATGGCATTCCCTCACCTTCATAGGAACCAGCAAGCGAGAGTGATTGAAGACTATTGCAACATCAATATCTTCATTGCCCTTGTGAGGTTGCTTAATCGGTTGTAACCAAGCGTGAGGAAGGACAAGGATTTCAATGAAAGAATCTCAGCTTGTATTTGTCCCTCTAGATGATTTCTAGTCAATCCAATGGCTTTTAGGGACCTACATGAGTAAAGGCTTACTGGAACCGTACAAGTGAAGTTATTGATCCTTAGGTCAAGTTTAGTTAGTTGACTCAATCTTGAGAAATCAAGCATGGAGATATCTCCTTCCAAGTTGTTGTTTCCCAAACGCAGTTCTACAAGGTTTGTGCAATTCATCAAAGATGGGGGCAAATCACCTTCTAAATTGTTGGAGTTGAATGTTACAAACTTCAACTTGGAGAGCTTCCCCAAATTGAGAGGAAGCTTGCCGCCAAAATGATTAAAGGAGAGGTCAAGGATGCAAGGTTGGTGAGGTTGACAATTTTATCACTAATGGCTCCATTTAGTGAATTGAAAGGTAATGCAATTTCTTCAAGTTTGGTAGCATTATAGATATCTTCTGGAAGTAATCCTACGATGTTATTGTGACTGGCACGAAAAACTTGCAGTTTGGAACACTTCCCTAACCCAGGAGCAAGGTCACCATTGAATAGATTGGAAGAAAAATCCAATAACCTAAGGAAGGGAGAAGAATGTTTGAGACAAATAGAGGATGGGAGATACCCTGTGAAGGTATTGTTGCTGACATTGAAACTAGTCAAGCTGCTTGCTTGTTGGAAGAATGAAGGTGGAATTGCACCATGAAACTGATTGCTGGATAAATCCACTGTTCGAATATTGCTGGATGGTAGAGAAAGTGGTAGCTCTCCAGAAAGAAAGTTATAGCTCAAATCAAGGAACTCGAGTCGATTCAAAGACATGAAGAACTGAGTATCAAGTGAACCATATAGTGAATTGTAGGAAAAGTTCAAGTGGGTGAGATGTGTGAGATTTCCAAGTGAAGAAGAAGGGATACCTCCTTTGAGCCCTTTGGAAGGCAAGAGCAAATGGGTGACCCAACCATCTTGATTACACGTGATGCCCTTCCAACGACAGCAATCAATGGATGTCCAATTTAAAGGAGGAGAAGATAGAGTTGAGGCAAAGGACAGGAGGGAGTTGCGTTCAGTTTGTTTGCAGGCATGAATATTTGTAGAAATAACGTAAGAGAATAAGAGGAAGAGAAGGAAGTCTTGAGCCATTAGGTTACAAGGCTGCACTAGCATGTTGCTTTGTATATTTGCCTTTGCTCACTGCAAATTAGGTGTATATATATATATAAGTGCAACCATGCTTGAAAACGATGCAAACATCACTGTAAATTGAGAAGTCAGCAAACAACAACCACACAATGCAAATTATTAATATTGAAACCCCTCTATAGGTCGAAGATATATTTCCACAACCACCACCTAAGAGGGGCCTACCAGGAGAGGACTTGACCTATTTAATTTGAGGCCTTCACACGAAGTACTAAAAGTTGTTGCAAATTTCTTACAACTTGTTTATGACAGTCGAGTTAAATTGCAAATGTCTCAAGGTCCAAGTTCAAACTTGTTTATACCAGCTCATCTTCTTGTTGATGACTCAAAGTCCAAGTTCAAAGTTGTTTTTCTTGTTGATGACTCATCTTTGTCTTTTGAGTATCTTATGTCCACATGTTTGACGTGTGCTTTCCCTCATTGGATCAGGCTTGACTGGCAATGTATAATATCAATCCAGCAAGAAAAATAACACCATATATGTCTTTTGAGTGACAGTGCCAGTCAAGCCTGATCCAACATTATACACAGAATTAGAAATACAAATCAAACAGGCTTTAGAGACCTAACCCAACTAAGAGATCCTCAAAATAGAAGAGGCCTTAGTCCAAATCATAACTCCAGTTAGCTAATTAGCCCCACTCTATCATTTCCCAAGAAAGAAAAGTAGAATCAGGAAGTAACCACCGGACTCTAGGCAATTCTGGAATAATTTGATACAAAAAATAAAGAAGCAAAAGCCCAAGCAATAATTTGATGCAGAAGTACGACCTTTGATTTTGTACGAAGTCTCTTCAGACACAAGTGCCCCAAATGCATAATAGCACTTAGTTGTAACTGAGTGTTGAGGCCCAAAAAATTCACGATTTGGCCCAAATAAATTCACGGCCTAATGCGATACCTTACTGAGAAGAAACCCGATTTGGGCACGCGGAAGTTCATCATATGCGCTTGCACACATGTCACGCCAAGCGACACACCACACCAAGCAAGGAATTATTATTCTGCACCTAATCACGCCACAAGCTTAAGTGGGCCCAAGCCACACAAGATGCCTGGGGCTTGCTTGAGTGTGTTGTGGTATGGATGGTAATAAGTTGTCATGAGGCCCATTGATGAGCCGAGAAATGGAGGTTCCGGGTTGCTTGGGAGCCTTGGAACCCAAGCCCATTTCTTAGGCCCAAACATGTGGGTGAGCACAAAGAGAAAATATCCCAACCAAAATAGCCTATTGACTCAACCAAAAAGCCCAACACCTCAAGCCAAACCTTGGTGAAGTTGGCCTATTTATTTGATAAGCCAATCCATTGTTCTAGAAGGCCCACATAAATAAAATAAAGACTTGCAAAACCATCAGCACTTTGCTGGAAAATAGAAGCCATGAAGAAGCATGGAAGGCCACGCTGGTTGCTGGGAGGGAAGGAACAAGTTTTCAAGTAAGAAACTTCCAAATGACCAAGGGATATTGGAGCGCAGATCACCCTTTGAACCAGCATGCATACCCATTTCTTTCTGACAGGACCCGTCCCGAATTTCCCGGAACCCGAGACGAACCCTGCGGAGACCCCGGCATCACACCCACGCCGGGTTTACTCCTTAAATCTACGTCCTCGTTCACCATAGAGGATTAAGGGCACGAGACTTTCTGCCCAAATTTCGGCAGAGTCTCCCCTGTAAATTGAATATTCCCCAAAAGTTCCACCTGCATAAAACTCATTTTATAACCCAACCAGCAGCACGCACAATATAATCTCATGCAATTTACATAAATGGCCTCCGGCCTTCAAATGATTCTAGCAGACTGCCCACATTGTTTTCAAAATAACTTCATGCATCAACCATGCAAATAACAAATTCCAAATCTCTCTATGCACACCTTCACTCACTCAGTCCACCGGACAAGCCTCAATTCAACCAAGTTTCGGGACCAACCACGAGGTCCGCATCATACACGATAAAACCACCTAAGTGGTGTCTAAGTCGTGGCTGCACCTAGGCGCTATCCCAGGCTGCCTACGTACCCTACTAAGGGATCAAGCCACACGTAGCTCTTTCCTATCAATCCTGGCTCCTGACATCAATTAAACCATTTCATCCATATAAATACATACATTCTCGGGTTATCCATCACAACACACCAAACATAATCACATAGCTCCCCTCATACGACGGGACGCACCCGGCCTCGTACGGGGTCTGTCTACACGCCGGCTAATCCAAAGACGCGTGCGACCTCACACTGGGCCTGGCTACATTCTCACCAGCCCTTATACCATCATATCTCCCACTCATACGTCGGGACGCACCCGGCCACGTACGGGGTCTGTCAACACGCCGGCTAACCCAAAGACGCGTGCGACCTCACACTGGGCCTGGCTACATTCTCACCAGCCCTCACACAATCATATCTCCCACTCATACGTCGGGACGCACCCGGCCACGTACGGGGTCTGTCAACACGCCGGCTAACCCAAAGACGCGTGCGACCTCACACTGGGCCTGGCTACATTCTCACCAGCCCTTATACCATCATATCACCCACTCATACGTCGGGACGTACCCGGCCACGTACGGGGCCTGTCAACACGCCGGCTAACCCAAAGACGCGTGCGACCTCACACTGGGCCTGGCTACATTCTCACCAGCCCTTATACCATCATATCACCCACTCATACGTCGGGACGTACCCGGCCACGTACGGGGCCTGTCAACACGCTGGCTAACCCAAAGACGCGTGCGACCTCACACTGGGCCTGGCTACATTCTCACCAGCCCTTATACCATCATATCACCCACTCATACGTCGGGACGTAACCCGGCCACGTACGGGGCCTGTCAACACGCCGGCTAACCCAAAGACGCGTGCGACCTCACACTGGGCCTGGCTACATTCTCACCAGCCATCATACCATCATATCTCCCACTCATACGTCGGGACGTACCCGGCCACGTACGGGGCCTGTCAATACGCGGCTAACCCAAAGACGCGTGCGACCTCACACTGGGCCTGGCTACATTCTCACCAGCCCTTATACCATCATATCACCCACTCATAGTCGGGACGTACCGGCCACGTACGGGGCCTGAGCATAATCACAATATGTGGGGTACGTGGGGTAGTGCGTATAGCACTGTAAACTAATATTCAATCTCCTTATATATCATTATACCTCCATACAATCAATTAAATATAACATCTAATTTCTAATCATACAAACACCTAGCATCGATAATCCCCCATAATCCCCATGACATCAGGACCTGTCACCACGGTCATTTTAATCTTCCTAGGAATGTAATACTACCTAGGAAGTCCCACAGACAAACCAGGGTCAAACTACCCAACCTTGGTCAAACGGGCCCGCGGGGCCCACGACCTCCAATTTCCGATCCGAAAGTTCCTATAGGTTCTACAAGCTCTAGGATGCACGTCCTGCAAGTTTGGTCCAGATCGGACGGTCGGATCGCTCACGATCGCACGATCGGACGGTTACTAAAACCCTAACCCCAGGGTTGGCATTTCGGAGTATCCGGGACTCCATTTTACGATCCGTCAAATCCTACATGATCCTGGTAATACCCAGATCAACATATTATAATAACAGGACCATCCAACGGTCCAAACCCAGCGAACCCGGAAAATACGCGATATGCGATATCCGTTCGGGACTCTAACAATATCCAAATTGAAATCCGAGCACACCCACGCGCTCGTGACATCGAAAGGATCACAATGGGACAAAAATGCCCCTCAGCTACAGTGCCCACGCGCCGGCAGCGCGCGTGGGTGTCCAAAGCGATAACCCATCGCCGGAAAAACCACGAATCACGGCTCAAGACTCCTACCCTAGGTAAAACACCTAATTTGGAGTCACTTTTGTTCTTGGACGTACCCCAAAATCTGGCCGGAAGTGGCCGGAATCTCTCCTCGAAATCCGGCCGAACCCTAACTCGAGAATCAGATAATCTAGGCTCAAATTACGAAATCCTACCCACATCAGCTAGATCACGGAAAATAGGTAAGAAATCATACCTTGATCGCAAGATTTGGTGGCCGGAATCGCCGGAACGAGCTCCGGAAAATCTGGGTAAAAACCGGCCGTTTTTCTGCAATTTCCGGCGGTATCGCTGCCGGCGGACATCGGAGAATGGGTAGGGTAGGACGGCGGAGTCAGGCCGGTCATTTTGGGACCGGTCCCGACCCGAGTGGTGGCCGGATGAATGAACGGCCGGCCAAAACGTGGCCGGCTGTGGTGGCGGTCGCGAACCAGAGGAGAGAGAGAGCGACGCGCGGGAGAGAGAGAGTGTGTGAGAGACGGGGGCAATTCCGTCTTTTAACCAAAATTCCATTTTCCAAATATTTACGATTTTGCCACTGAGCTTCTTTTGATCATATCTCTCTCGTTACAACTCCGATTCGAGCCCACTACATGTCTACGAACTCATCTCGCCGTGCTCTACGCAACGGTACATCCGGAATTCCCAAATTCCTTCCGGGCAAGAAAATGACTAAAATACCCCTATCCCACGGGTAATTTCTCAATTCCACTTAAATAAATTAAAAACATGGGATAATTTGGGGGTCGGGGTGTTACACTTTCCCTCATCAGACCTAGCCTTGGAAGAGGGGAAAAGAAGGAAGGAAGATGGTTAAAAATAGGAGTCTAAAACAGTCGCGGGAAAAGGGGCCTTAAGCTCCCAAAAATCCCTAATTTTGTGCAAATGGGCAGAGTGGATTTCATCAAAAAATGATGATTGAAGAGATGAGGGGAGAAATGAAGGGAAAGACTTGACCAAATTGGATAGAAACCATTAGGGTTTCTTGGAAAATGTCAGCTTCCAGCGGCTATAAAAGGGGGCCTCTTCTACCCAATAAGAATCAACCACATCAGAGAGCAAGCTTCCTCTCTTACTCCCAAAACCCAGCAATTTCGTGCTCAACCCTTCATTTTCCCTTAGTTTCCCTCTTGGCAAGCTGTTCTGACAAGCTGCCTGAAAAAACACTCAAGCCACATTTTTCTCTCTTTTTCCTCATGCTCAACCAAACCTCTCTGCAAAATTCTTTCTCTCCAACCTCAACACCCCATCTTTCTCCTAGGAACACTTAGTTTTCTCTTCAGTGCTAAACTCATGACAATTTTGCTCCCATGTCACAAGCTTCTCATCCCAAATCAATAATTTATCTGTAAGTTGTTGTTATTTTTGTTGGTGAAGGTAACCAGGGTGTTTCCTAAGGCCCTATTGTCCTTTCAAAGCACTCTTGGGGCTTGATCTTCGAACTCAGGCTCAAGGAGCAATTTCTTCCATTTTGCTCTTTACGGCAGCCCAGGCCCGTAGTAGCTGCTGGAAGAAAAAAACCCCTACACTGAGTAGATCTTCATCCTTGCTTCTTCCTCACTGTAGTTGAGAACAAACAAATGCATCAATCAATTAATACAAGAAATGTGAACTACTTTAGAGAGTGATCATATCTTTTATACCGTAGTTGATTGGATATTACATATTAGGCGTTATCCGGGTTCGACATGTTCGGACTATTGGATCGACTCCAATTTCATATATGTTGATCTAGACATTCCTAGGATCGTGTAGGATTTCGCGGATCATGAATCAGAGCCCCAGATGTTCCGATTCAGTAACTTAAAGTTTGCGTTAAACGATAACCGTCCGATCATACGATCGCGAGCAATCCGACCGTTCGATCCGGACCAAACTTGCAAGACATGTATTCTAAACCTTGTGTAACCCATAGGAACTTCCAAATCAGAAATCATAGGTCATGAGCCCCGTGGGCCCGATTAATCCAATTTGGAAAGTTTGACCGCCCGGTTGACTGAGCGTCTTCCGATGCTATCTCTTCATCCAAAACACGTAGTTAGCATAAATAAATAGTATTGCTAAGCATACAATATTAAGTTCATGAGTAGGTTAAGAGAAGTGAGTTTTGGAGGGGGAGTAGTATTCAAATTACAGATGAAATCTGTTTAACATTGCACCATAATGCTTTGATATATGTAACGAAACTGACGGTGGATAGAAAAAATGGGTAATTATTGGTTTTCATATTTGAGACAGGACTAAAGTTAAAATCTTGTATATTGCAAAATTATTTTCCTGATTCATAAACCAGCTTGCAAAATTTCTTCTTCTTGAGGCCAATTTGAAATCCGCACTATCTCACCCTCTGTTCTTGATCAGGCTTCAAGCATTTAGGGAACCTTGCTAGATCAGCATATTAATTATTTTCCTTCATTTTTTCTAATATGCAGCTTTTAAATGGCATCACCTTTTCCAATGTTGTTTGTTTGAGTGTGTTATTGAATTCTCTTTCTTCTTAATAGTTTGAAAGAAAAACTTCAACAAATGGACAAGCTGCTGCTCGAGGGGACATAGTGTTGGAAATATGAGTGCTAAATTGCTATAAAATAAATAAATAAAACTACATACAAAACAGATTTTTACAACAGCATAATAGAATTAAAAGAACCTTAATTGAGTCCAGGCAAGTGTTGGACACTCTAATCTTAAGACGAATTACGCCCCACACTGGTGCTTATGGTTCACTAGCGTTCGCCTCCCAGGATACAACGACTCCCCTCCTTGTGAAAGAAGCACTGCAATTCACAAGGAACTTTGAACCAAATTATGCAGGCAGTGACGGACCCAGGATCCGAACTCCGTAGGGTCATAGTGTAAATGTTCGAAAGAAATTTTAAAAATGGGTTATTTTTCATATCTATTTTTTCTCTTCCAAATTTATTCCTTTATTAGAAAAATATAATTTGAATGATTTCAATTTGTCATTTTTTAATGTATTTTTTGAGTGTTTCAATTCATAAAATTTCAAACCAAACCTATGCCAATTAACCAAAAAACGAAAAAAACCACAACCGCCTAATCAACAAAAATAAGCAAAAACTTCATCCAACAAATCAATCTAATACATATAAATCATAAATTTCATCCAATCAATTATAAATTTGATTTCCATTAAATTAAAACCAGTATACATGCATTTTGTTCTAATTACAATTTTTTTTTTTTTTTTTTTTCTTAAGTGTTAAATAAGTGTGTAAATAAAACCATATTGTGGTCATCCTTAGATAAAATTACAAGTAAAGTTCATCATTCATGGATTCTAATTTTTAAGCGTTCATTGGAATTTGAAAGGAAGAAATAATAATAAATGAAATAAAGTTGACTTGTTGATTCCAACAACAAAACAGGTTAAAAAGATTAAAAAGAAAACAGTGTTATAAACTAAATAGATTGAGATTGAGAAACTGAAAGATTGAGAGAATTGAAAGGGAGAGAAATCCTAGTTAGGGAGTTTTATTCGGATTGATCAATCATTACAATGAAGATGAGGCCTACCTTTATAGAAGGGAGGAAACGTGCTCATCAGGTATTGTACAGGGAAATGTGGGCTCCACATGCATGTATTTACAACAAACAGGTTAATGTTGGAGAATGGAGGGATACGGAAGGGTTTTTAATTTTAAAAATTTTCCTGGGCCAAAACGACGTCGTTTTGCCCAGGTGTTAAAAAAAAAAAAAAAAAAAAAAAAGCGCGTTGTGCTGCTTCTTCTTCCTCTTGCGCACAGCTTCCTCCCTCTTCCTCTCAGGCAAAACATCAAACACTTGGAGGGCAATCCAAGGGGTCACACAGCCAGCTCAAGTGGACCTCCAACCCTATTTCCATGGCTTCCATAGGGTCGTTTGACCCCAGTGACCCCACTGTGGGTCCGTCCCTGTATGCAGGAACCTCTCTTTATGAAAACTCTAATGCTCTCTATATATGAAAGTGTATATGTAGAGAATTAAACTGAATTAATAAAACTACAGGAGGATTGCTCTATTTATAGATGATGAAATACCCTTTCTAAAAAGGTATCTCAATCTGAAAAGGCAAACAATGCATCCCTTGGTCTGAAGAGTTGTCACCCCAAACAATGCATCCCTTGGTTTGAAGAGTTGTTGTTCCCCATGTGAAGATGTCTTTAACCCAAGGGTCATGTCTTTAAACCAATGGATTTTATTAATTTCCATTCAAATAGGAAAATCAATATTAGTTAATATTAAATTTTCTAACAATCCCCCACATGAATGGAAATTGACTCAACAACAGGCAAACAAAAATGAAGACACTAGAGAGAGTCCCTATTAGAAGAATACTGCATCTAGATAGGTAGCTTTTGGCCTTGAACCTTCCATAGTGAAATACTATCGGATTTACTTGGCTAATCAGTGAACGTGATGTCTTGAACTGTTCAGCCGTTTGTGTAAACCCAGACAATAGTACTCACACAATACCCTTCTAAACATATTTGGTTCGATCGGTTGTGCTCGTTTTGGCCCTGTGCATTCCTGGTATTCATGAGAGCTTTAGAGAATTCAAGCCTTAAAAAATTCTCATAGAAACGGCCTCATTTCACACTCACATAGGTGACTTCCTATTAAGAGTATCCTGCACTACCCCACTCGGATTCCCAAGCTATAGGAATCATTAAAATCAAAGATTACCCTAAAACACTCTATAGGCAACACTGTTTCATCATAGGACATGGGTAGGAGATGTAATCTCGGCAGTGCTACTACTTAGTCATCCATAATTTGGTTGTCCCTTTTGAACCTAGATCTTGGGATCTCCAGTCAGCTAGGTTGGGTATCCACTATGGAGACTTTAAATATTTAGGCTTATACTCCCATTCCCCTCGATGATCAACTAACTCTCTAGTCTGACCTTTAAATATTGGATCCACTAGGTTGACTATTTCTGTAATATATTGCCATCATAATTTCATATGTGGAAATAAATTCCATTCAAGAGTAGTTGAGCATTTAATTTATTTTGGTAAGACTTAATAATTGTGCCAACTGAGTAACCTTCTAATACTTAGTTAGACACCCCCACATTTGTGGTACTTATAGGAAGGTCTCTAACCTTCTCATACCTTGTATAAGAGAAATTTAAACTCTTATGAACACCAAAGCCTCTCTCCACAAAAACGTGGTGCCAGAAAACTTCTATTTTCTCTGTTAGGAAATAGAATTCCAAATTTTCCTTCATGTCTATCACCCCCACAATTTTCACATAATTGTTAAAGGTATTGAGCAATTTGTTAATCGTTTTTTTATATGCCTAAGAAGTAGAAAACTTTTACTTTATCCTTAAAGAATGAGATAATGGTTCTATAGTATTAGTTTATAATTTTCCTTTAAATCAATTTAATGTTGCATTAGTAATAGAACCATGATTATAACATAATTAACATGTTCTAGTTACCATACCCTCATTAATTGATTAAAGCAAATCATTATAAAACTAGTTTTCCTTTATAAAGTGCACATCAATTTATGCATAGGGTAAGGCTTGGGTACCCTTTGTCCATATGCATCTCATTCTATAGGTAGTACAATTGAGATATTTATTCTTAAAATATCTTCACTTCTTAAGCTCTTTGTAATAGAACTACCAATTAGCTTTACCCCTTTGAAACCTCAAAGTTTTTATACCAAGTGCCTCACTCGAAATACTTTGACTGGTTTCTAACCATGACCAACATGGTTGCTGGCATGAGCTATGATTGTTAACATAGTCCTATATGGATTCTCATTTTTTCATATAGAGTAACAAAGTCCCACACAATTTACAAAACAACATTTTTGCAAATTTCTGAACTGTAAACAAATTGATATGTCTCGTGTTGATGCTCAAATTGGTTAGGCCAAGAATGAGTCCAACTTAGTAATGATGTGTGATGGATGATGGATGAAGGTGAGGGCCTTAAGCATGTATGTAAAGACTTGGGCAAGCAATAAATGTTAAGAAGACAAGATATACGTGGTTCACCCTTAATGAATGGGCTACATCCACGGAGAAGTGTGTTCTCATTATAATAGTGTATGATTACATTTGTACATTGGGTTGGACCTGAATATAAAGATGACAAGTGAGATGCCTAGGTCAGGGATCTAGAAGAGAGTCCCCGGCCCTAGGGTCTAGCTTTGAGACCCGGATCCTCTTCTAAGTGGAGAGAAGAAGTCCCCTTTTCACATGGATACTATTCCCTATTTATAGGGAGGTGAAAGTGGGAGGTTTGTGTAGATTTCCGATGTGGGACTTTGCGCAAGTCGCTGTGGTGGTGACATGTGTCATGGTGTTGATGCTCTTGGTGCTGGGTATGCTCGGTTGATTATGGTGTAAACATCCCGTAATAGAGAGCATGTGGGTCTGTACACTTTCCCGCATATCAATTCTATTGGACTGCAGTTTTGAATTGTATAAAACAAAAAGAAACTGAACGGAAATCCAATTATAAAAAAAATGTTTACCCAGGAGTAATGAAACACTTGAATGAATAACCAACTCATTCAAGTCAACAATGCAGTGAACTGTAATACGCATCAAAATCGTTTTACACTTTTTCATCTAAATGCATAATCACAGACTAATATACATTGCAATTAACACAAACTAATTCATCTTAAGATTGTTGGAAATATGAGTGCTAAATTGCTATAAAATAAATAAATAAAACTACATACAAAACAGATTTTTACAACAGCAGAATAGAATTAAAAGAACCTTAATTGAGTCGAGGCAAGTGTTGGACACTCTAACCTTAAGATGAATTACGCCCCACACTGGTGCTTATGGTTCACTAGCGTTCGCCTCCCAGGATACAACGACTCCCCTCCTTGTGAAAGAAGCACTGCAATTCACAAGGAACTTTGAACCAAATTATGCAGGAACCTCTCTTTATGAAAACTCAAATGCTCTCTATATATGAAAGTCTATATGTAGAGAATTAAACTGAATTAATAAAACTGCAGGAGGATTGCTCTATTTATAGATGATGAAATACCCTTTTTAAAAAGGTATCTCAATCTGAAAAGGCAAACAATGCATCCCTTGGTCTGAAGAGTTGTCACCCCAAACAATGCATCCCTTGGTTTGAAGAGTTGTTACTCCCCATGTGAAGATGTCTTTAACCCAAGGGTCATGTCTTTAACCCAATGGATTTTATTAATTTCCATTCAAATAGGAAAATCAATATTAGTTAATATTAAATTTTCCAACACATAGTCATTTCACGTATCTCAGCTTTTGAGAAACTGGATCTAGAGCTTATAAAGAGAGAAAAAATGCTGAAAGAATTTTCATTCGCAGACCAGATCAGAGCTGCCAAAAACAAAAGAATGGAATTAACTATGGAAGCCTCATCCTCTGTTCATGCAGTCAACAAGAAACCAGGAGAGTATGCTTAAATTTCCACGTCCCTAGCAGTAGTTGAAATAGAGATAAGAAGTGTATGGAGGGCAACATTTTTTCTTCTTTAAAGAGGGACAATTTGCTTGTTTTTATGTAGCTTAATGTTCATTTGTTGATGGTTTGTAGGAAGAGAAAATATCGGGCTCTTGGATGCATTTTTCCAACTAGTCGCAAGAGTCTGGTCATTTGTTTTCAGGGCTTCATTCCAATGTTATATGGAAGAGGTCCATCTGGCGACAGTGCAGCGTTTTTATGTGAAAAATTTGTTAGGTGAATTTGTCATGACCAGAAATTATATCATCCGCTTTCAAGCACAGGAAATATTTGCCTTGCCAATATCCATGCTGGTTGTGATATTGACTTTAGACAGTCGAGTTAAATTGCAAATGTCTTACAACTTGTTTATTGCAGAGTTGTTATAAGCTGTATAGGATGTGTCATGATTTTTTAAGTTAAACATGGAAGGAAGAAAACCATGAGTTGTGAGATTTGTAGTTTATTTTCTCCGAAATGAAGAAGAAGAAAAAAGAAAAAGAAAAAAGCAAACTGAAAAAGCAAAATAAAAAGTACAATATTAATAATATATATCTAGCCTCTAAGCCTTCTTTTCATCCTGTTGAGGGGGACTGTTATCATCACATAGAGCCTATCTTGTAGATAGTCTATGAATTGAAAATACGCATATCTCCATGTCTTTTTAATAACTAAAGAACCACAGACTCCCCAAAATCCTACTATGAACCCCAACGCAATGAAAATGTAAAACCATGGAAGTTGATGATGCCCATTGCCCTCGTCTTTGTTGTTCTTGTTATCTGCATCCATGTCCTTATTTGGTCTGCACTTATTTGAAAGTGGGGCACCACAAAGTTTTGGATTCCCCTCAAAAGCAGAAGTGTTGAAGCTTTGGAGCTGGGTGCCTGTTGGTATTGGTCCTTCGAGGTTATTGTATGAGACATTAAAATCTCTTAAGAAATTAAGGCTCGCCAATGACGATGGGATTATTCCAGACAAGTGATTCGTGGAGAGGTCCAAAACCTCTAAATATTTAGGTTAGATATTTGGTCTGGAATGATGCCGGAGAAGTTGTTGGAGTCAAGAGTCAACCTGCGAAGAAGCTGCAATTGGTCGATCTCAGCAGGTATATAACCACTAATGTTATTCATAGATAAGTCTATCGATGCTGGATAAAAATACAAGTTTTGCGATAGAAAATTTTGGTTTCTGGTTAGTCTACCCCTGCTGTTGTACTGGGTGATAACAGGCAATTCAAATTCATATCGATCTGCTTGAGATGCAATATTACGTTCATAAAGCAACCTTGGTAGTCGACAAAGTTGCTTTGGAAATTCACCTGAAATTGGTTGCAACCCAAGCCTATAAAAATCAGCCTAGGAAGAGTCCCCAACCAACTTGGAATTGGCCCTGTGATTTGATTAAAACCCAGAAACAAAATCTCTAGATTCTTGAGCTTTGATAACCATAAAGGTATTCGACCAGTGAGGTTAGAATGAGCCAAACCCAAGAGCCGAAGATTTTGGAATCCATGAAAATCAACCATGTCATCATCAGATGGCATTCCCTCACCCACAAAGGAACCACTAAGCATGAGTGCGTGAAGACTTCTGCAACTCATCAATATTTTCATTGCCCCTGTGAGGTTGGTGAATCGGTTGCCACTAAGAGAGAGGAAGGACAAGGATTTCAATGAAAGAATCTTAGCTTCTATTTGTCCCTCTAGATGATTTCCAGCCAATCCAATGGCTTTTAGGTACCTACAAGAGTAAAGGTTTACTGGAACTGTACCAGTGAAGTTATTCATCCTTAGGTCCAATTTAGTAAGTTGACTCAGTCTTGAGAAATCAAGCATGGAGATATCTCCTTCCAAGTGGTTGGATTGAAGACGTAGTTCTACAAGGTTTGTGCAATTCATCAAAGATGGGGGCAAAGCACCTTCTAAATTGTTGAAATCAAAGGTCACAAACTTCAACTTGGAGAGCTTCCCCAAATTGAGAGGAAGCTCGCCCCCAAAATGATTAAAGGAGAGGTCAAGGATGGCAAGGTTGGTGAGGCTGACAATTTTATCACTAAGGACTCCATGTAGTGAATTGAAAGGCAATGCAATTTCTTCAAGTTTAGTAGCATTATAGATATCTTCTGGAAGTAATCCTGAGAGGTTATTGTGACTGGCACGAAAAACCTGCAATTCAGAACACTTCCCTAACCCAGGAGCAAGGTTGCCATTAAATAGATTGGAAGAAAAATCCAATATCCTAAGGGAGGGAGAACAATGGAGACAAATAGAGGATGGGACATACCCTGTGAAGGTATTGTTGTTGACATTGAAACTAGTCAAGTTGCTTGCTTGTTGGAAGAATGAAGATGGAATTGCACCAAAGAAGTGATTGCTGGACAAATCAATTGTCCGGATACTGCTAGATGGTAAAGAAAGTGGTAGCTCTCCAGAAAGACGGTTATAGCTCAAATCTAGGATCTCAAGTTGATTCAAAGACAAGAAGAACTGAGTCTCAAGTGACCCATATAGTGAATTGTGGGAAAGGTTCAAGTGGGTGAGATTTGCAAGTAAAAAGGGAGAGATACCTCCTTTGAGTCCTTTGGAAGGCAAGAGCAAATGGGTGACCCAACCATCTTGATCACAAGTGATGCCCTTCCAACGACAGCAATCAATGGATGTCCAATTTAAAAGAGAAGAAGATAAACTGGAGGCGAAGGAGAGGAGGGAGCTGCGTTCAGTTTGTTTGCAGGCATGAATATGTGTAGATATAATGTAAGAGAATAAGAGGAAGAGAAGGAAGGCATGAGCCATTAGGTTATAAGCTTTCACTAGCATGTTGCTTTGTGTATGTGCCGTTGCTCACATGTATTCGTATATATATATGAACAACCATGCTTGAAAACGATGCAAACCACCACCACACAATGCAAATTGAGAAGTCGGGAAACAACAACCACTGAATGCAAATTATTGATATTGAAACCTTTGGGCCACCAGAAGAGGACTTGGCCGTCACGAAGCAATGAAGAGGTATTCCCACTAATGCCACCAGGAGTGGACTTGACCTACCTAATTTTTTAACAGTAATAAAAAAATCTCATGGATGTAGTTGATGCGTTTTCAGATTTGGATAATTATCGATATTGAAACCTTTGGGCCACCAGGAGAGGACTTGACCGTGATATATGTGACAAACAGGATCCTTGTTGAATTCAAACTGGAATATGTTTTGACTATTTCCTTTTATTTTTAAGGCAGCTGATAACTGATATATACCAGCTCATCTTCCATGTTAATCACTCAAAGTCCAAGTTCAAAGTTGTTTTTCTTGTTGATGATTCTTCTAAGAACTCATCTTTGTCTTTTGAGTATCTTATCTCCACACGTTTGACGTGTGCTTTCCCTCATTGGTGTTTTCTTTCATTATGATGATAATTTTCAAGGACTTTGTAAGATATATGGTGTTATTTTTCTTGCCAGATAGATATGGCCTGAGAGCGACAGGGCCAGTCAAGCCTGATTCAACATATACATTGACGTTCTATTCATTTCAAAGTTGTTTCTTGTTGATGATTCTTCTAAGAATATTCAAAATTGGAGGATAGTCAATTCTTTCCAAGTGTTTGCCCCACAAGAAGGCAAACTACACATAATTAGAAATACAAATCAAACAAGCTTTAGAAACCTGACCAACTAAGAGATCCTCAAAATAGCCCCACAATATCATTTCCCCAAAAAAAAAAAAAAAAAAAAAAAACCAGTACCCGTACCACTCTAGGAAATCTGGAATAATTTGATTATAAATAAAAAATTAAAAAAAAACCAAAAGCCCAAGCAATAGGTGCAGAAGTACCTTTGATTTTGTACGAAGTCTCTTCAGACACAAGTGCCCCAAATGCATAATACAAGCAATGTGAGCTACATTAGAGAGGGATCATATCTTTTATACCGTAGTTGGTAGTTAGTACAAAATATAAATTTCAGGCACTCGTTGAAACGTCGAAGATATCAATCTATCTAAATTTAGTATGTAAAGCTAAAAGTGATCAAAACCATGCTATATACATCAGACCATTATGCCCATGATATAGAGTTATTATAGGTCCGATTTTAAAGACTAAAGGCCTCGGAAGATTTGTAATGCCAATCACCAAGATTTGTAATCCCATACTTCGCGGCCCTAAGAGAACCATAGGGCCCTAGGACCAACGACAAAGAGCAATAGAAACTACAAAGAGCTAATCTATAGAAAGCTACCGAAAGCTAATCTACGTAGACCTAAACTATGCCTTAGTGAAATGCTATAGGAAGAAATTAAGTCAAAAATACCTTTGCAAAAAAGAATGCTCGAATATAAATAAACTTTCTAGCACAACAAAGCTAATTTATGTGGGAGTTCATTGCGTGTGAAATTTTATGTGTGACTTGCATATGAGGCATTAAATTTGAAGAGAGATTTCCACTAATGACAGGTTTTGAAGCTGCCATAACCACACAACACAAATTATCCAAACCACTCTGTACGTCAAAGAGAGATTTCCACTAATGAAACCAAAGCAACGACCTTGTTATTTTAAAGTCTGCATTGACTCCGAAGCAGTTTCATCCTCAATCGAAGATCTTCTTATATTGAAAATCATATCCCCTATTGGATTTCATTGAACATATGTAAGGGGAGATTCTCACTATAGTTATCTTAATTGGTGCAATAAGATATTTTCCAAGCATCTTATCTAATATCATGGCTTCAGGTTAAGAGAATATTACAGAGGGAGTTGCGGAAGGTACAGAGCTGCACAGGTAGATGGGTTATACATGAAATCAAATTAAAGAAGAGAGATAATAGAAAGAAAGAAAAAAAAGAATGAGAGAGAGAGGAGTTTTTAGAAGTCTGTGTTTGTTTGCCATAAAGTATAATAAATGCAAAGTTAAGTGCATCTTAAATGAATCTGAACTTTTAGATTGGGATAGATCTAAGGGCTAAAGATGGTGTGTAAAAAAGTGTGGTTTTATGTGTGTCTTCCGATTCTAAAACCTTATATATATATAATATATATATATATAGTACCCTTCTATTGAGGGATCCCTCAAATAATTTATTTGAGGGACGCCATTTAGGGCACCTACAATTTTTTTCTCAATGATCCACCACCATCTATTTTTTAGGTATTCATTCATAGATCATCCTTACAAAAAATTAGACAAATCGGAAACCGTTTCGACATCCAATTGTGTCCTTACAAAATCAATGAAGACGGTGCTTCAAGAAAGTATTAAAATTTCAATAACTCAATTGAGTGGTCAAATGATATCGGATTCAAGTGATTTTTTGTAGAGATGATCTTTGAATGAGTATCTACATAATAGACGGTTTGAATTAATGAAATTACAATTCAGAGTGGGCCCTACAAGCGTGTCCCTCAAATAAGTTTATTTGAGGAATCCTCAATGAAAGCTCTCTGTATATATATATATATATATGTAAGCAACAATGCTTGAAAACGATGTAAATTTAAGTCCACAACGCCTTAGTACTCAAAGTTGTTGCTGTGACTAATGGTGATAATTTTTCATGGAATTGGGAATATATATGTCCTCAGAATCAGGGGTGGCCCTAAAGGTGTGCAAATGGTGCCACAACACAGGGCCCTTGATTTTTGAGGGGCCCCGATTTTTTTTATGTGTATAATATATGTTTAACAAATGTTATATATATATACCGAGTGAGCAAATTGTTGACACAAAGGACGTTCCTAGTTGTGTTGGTTTGTAGGGCCTCAACTTCTATTCTGGGCGCGACTTCAAAACCGCTTGTGTTAAAGGCTTGTCTGATGTCAACACCAACATTCAATATCCTTGACCCAATTTAATTGATTTAATCCAATTTAATTCTTTTTGTGAAATTTCAATTTTGTCCTTGGGAGTAGGGGTACTGCGGGTCTTGGATAAGTTTAGCCATAGCCAAGGGAGAACTCTCTTGGGTTACAATCACAAAGAAATCAGTTTCACCATTCTTAATGTCTCTAGGGCCCCCACGGTCAGTGGTGGATCAGGCCAAGGGGTCACAGTGTAAAAGTTTCGAAATTTTTTAGAAGAAAAATAACACTAGAGAATAGAAAAATAGTACTTTCCATCCAAACTTCAATTGTACACGACGAATTTTCTTTTCAAAACATTGCATTGTAGCTTCATAAATCATTTATTTTTTAATAATTTTAGGCACTTTTGTTAATGTCTCGTCTAAAAGTGAATATCATTTTTATAAAGAATAAAATTATAATGTATAGAGACTACACTATCTTTAAAAAAAAATTTAAATGAAACAAGCCCAACCCCCCACTTTGAAAAAGGATGCAAACATCACTGCAAATTGGGAAATCGGCTAACAACAGCAACAATTTAAATTGTGCGGTTGAAGAGATATTCCCACTAATGAAACCAGAGAGAAGACCTCATTGGGTCTAAGAGATATTCCCCACTAATGCCACCAGGAGTGGACTGACCTACTTAATTTACAGACCACAGGGCCTTCAAAGTGCGCAAAGTAGGATGTGTCATGATTTTTTTAACAGTAATAAAAAAACTCACAAGTCCAAGTTCAAAGTTGTTTTTCTTGTTGATGATTCTTCTAAGAAACTCATCTTGTGTCTTTTGAGTATCTTATCTCCACACGTTTGACGTGTGCTTTCCCTCATTGGTGTTTTCTTTCGTTATGATGATAATTTTTCACGACTTTGGAAGATATATGGTGTTATTTTTCTTGCCAGATAGATATGGCCTGAGAGTGACAGGCCAGTCAAGCCTGATCCAACATTATACAATAACGTCCTGTTCATGTTCAAAGTTGTTTCTTGTTGAGGATCTTCCATGAAAATGTCAAAATTGGAGGATAGTCCATTCTTTCAAAGGTTGTTTGCCCCACAAAAGGCAAACTACACAGAATTAGAAATACAAATCAAACAGGCTTTAGAGACCTGACCCAACTAAGAGATCCTCAAAATAGCTCCACAATTTCATTTCCCAGGAAAACAAAATAGAAACAAAAAGTACCCACCGGACTCTAGGCAATTCTGGAATAATTTGATATAAATAAAAAAAAGAAGCAAAAGCCCAAGCAATAATTTGATGCAGAAGTACCTTTGATTTTGTACGAAGTCTCTTCAGACACAAGTGCCCCAAATGCATAATAGCACCTATGAGAAACTGTGTAGATCTTCATCCTTGCTTCTTCCTCACTGTAGTTGAGACAGAAGAAAATGCATCAATCAATTAATACAAGCAATGTGAACTACATTAGAGAGGGATCATATCTTTTATACCGTAGTTGGTTATGTGTGGTAGTTAGTACAAAATATAAATTTCAGGCAACATTAATAATTGATGTATATGATACAATTGCAGGTACTTGTCGAAACGTCGAAGATATCAATCTATCTAAAATTTAGTATGTAAAAGTGATCAAAGCAGTTTCATCCTCAATCGAAGATCTTCTTATACTGAAATTTCATTTTTGATTTTTAAGGCAGTGATATATGATACCAGCGCATCTTCCATGTCAATCAAAGTCCAAGTTTCCAAGTTGTTTTCTCGTTGTTGATGATTTTTTAATAAGAAAATTGGAGGATAGTCATTCTTTCCCAGTTGTTTGGACCACATCCAGGAAGACATAGAAAATACACGTATCACTGGTAGGGGAGAAAAAAAATTAAATTGAAAATACATACATTAATTAATTTTTAAAGGCTTATAATTAAAAAAAAAGCATTGAGGTTGTGGAGGATAGGGAGAAATTGATAACAGTCAAGCCAGATGTAAACATACATTGATGCCCTTATTTAGGTTATAAAAAATTTTTTATAAATCATTACTGTGGCGCAAAAGTGAAAAAAGGTTCAGAACCGAACTGGTCTGCAATAGGAACAGAACAACATCTAGATCATTTAACGTTGAGTCCAGTTACTTTGAAAAAATGAAAGAAAAAAAAGAGAAAAAGAAGGAAAAAGCAACTGAAAATGCAAAATAAAAAAGTACACATTAATAGATACTATCTAGCCTCTAAGCCTTCTCATCTGGTTGAGGGTGAACTGTTAATCCATAGAGGAGCATATATTGACATGTTTATGAATAAATAAATACGCAAATCCTTGTCTTGTAATAACCTCAAAGAAACAACAAACTCCCCCAACATCTACATGAATCACATGTTGCAAAGATATAAAACCACGGCATTGAGAAGTCCATTGTCCTTCATCTTTATGTTTTTAGCTTAGATATCGGGTAAGGGAGTGATGCCGGAGAAGGGTGGTTGGAGTCAAGAGCAACTTGCAAAGAAGCTAAAGTTGCCCCCCCCCTTCTCATCGCTACTGTCACACACGGTATATAACTACCATCATGCTTACAGTAGATATAGTCTCCCTGTCTACGTAACAATATATAATGCTTGTAGGGATAGAAAGCTGTGATCCTTGCCCGTTCTTGACTGCCTACCTTTTACCCAGACGCCCGGCCCTGCACAGAGAAGAAACTTGCCACAATTCTCAACACCCTTCTATCTACCTCTGCCGCGATTCCAATTGCCCCCCCCCCCCCCCCTTCAAAGCAACCTGCGTACGTGATCCACCTCCAACCCGATTGGTTATCTTGAGCAGAATTCGTTGTGTGACAAGGTTATATGTAATTTTTTATATGTAAAATAGGAAGAGTCCCCAACCCTACAATCACCCACCAACCCTGTGGGGGGGGGCTGATGAAATCCCAGAGCCAGGCTCTCTAGATATTGAACTTTGGTAAACATAAAAAGGTAGTTGATCCCGTGAGGTCGAGGTAGAGAACACAAACCAAAGAAGCGTACCCATTTGGAATTCATCACAATCAAACCATGTCAGAACAGATGGCATTCCCTCACCCTAAAAAGGAAAACCAACTTAGTGACACCGCGACCGGACAACCGCTGACGGGTCAATGAGCCTTGGCTCGTTTTTCTGTTTTACTATGCACAAAGATACATGACACAATTAGCGGGTGTCAACTAATGTGTCATGTTGTTCCTGTGGCAAATGTAGACCATATCTACTATTTAATTATTCGTACTAACATAATAAACATGCTTCGTGCTGCAAGAGGCTTTTCCAAATCCAAATTTAAATGATTTTAGAATGGATAGCTGTGCTCTATACAAAATAGGATCAGTTTTTTTTTTTTTTTTTTTTTTTTTTTTTTTTTTTTTTTTTTTTTTTTTTTTTTTTTTTTTTTTTTTTTTTTTTTTTTTTTTTTTTTTTTTTTTTTTTTTTTTTTTTTTTTTTTTTTTTTTTTTTTTTTTTTTTTTTTTTTTTTTTTTTTTTTTTTTTTTTTTTTTTTTTTTTTTTTTTTTTTTTTTTTTTTTTTTTTTTTTTTTTTTTTTTTTTTTTTTTTTTTTTTTTTTTTTTTTTTTTTTTTTTTTTTTTTTTTTTTTTTTTTTTTTTTTTTTTTTTTTTTTTTTTTTTTTTTTTTTTTTTTTTTTTTTTTTTTTTTTTTTTTTTTTTTTTTTTTTTTTTTTTTTTTTTTTTTTTTTTTTTTTTTTTTTTTTTTTTTTTTTTTTTGTGGTTTGAAAATCAAGGGTCACAAATTTCAACTTGGAGAGCTTCCCAAAAATAATCAGTGAGAAATCACAGCCAAAAAACACTAAAAAGATGCCCATTGGATGAATATTTTTCACTAACCTTTCTTGAGAGTGACATGACCTGAGATATATGGGCATGTCTGCCGCTCTTGCTTCTAAATAATCGCTCTTAATTTGGGAAAGACTGGGATGTGAAATTGGATGAGTTGGTGATGAACTGAAATGGGTTCTGATCGCTTGTTCTTGTCTTAAATTACTAAAGCAAGCTGCAAGCAGAAGCACTGAGACTGAGAGAGACTAATTTATTTGTTGTGGGTTTTGTTTGTATTGTTGATTGGGATGAATGAACTAACGATGAAGTGAATTGGGTTGTATTCACCATTGTTCCTGTATTTAAGTTACTAAGCCAAGCACAAGCACAAGCACCTAGAGAAAAAATTATACATATAATTGCATTTTGGGTTTTGTTTAGATTTTTCAATTGATTAGGAGGATGACTAATCGATGAAAAATAAGAGAGCATTGCCCTATCATAGTGGTTTCATTAAACAGTCTTCTGCTTTCTGCAAATATGTGCACTACATGACATGACATGACCCTGAAAGAGTAATAATCATATTCAGATAAAAAAGGCAACCAGGTTCGCACCCAGCAATAAGCCAAACAAAAATATCATTCCAGACCGGTGACATAAAAAACCTACAGCCCATCTCGAGCAGCCGCCTTGCTTATCTACAGCATGCCTACAAGACTCATGGTTACGTAGCCTCAAGCTCAGTAACGGTTTGTACCGGGGATGCCTCCATCGTCCCTGCCTGGTGTGTAGTTACCTTGGTATTGCCCAGGACTCCCCCATCCTGCATTAGGCGGTGGACCTCCCATGTTATTTGGTGGTGGGGGCACTCCTCCCATGTTGTTTGGTGGCATCCCTCTCATGTTGTTTGGTGGCACACCTCCCATGTTGTTGGGGGGCATCTGATTGTAGTTAGGTGGTGGCGGCGGCATCTGATTATAATTATGAGGCATCTGATTGCTCTTGTTGTTGGGCTGCCCACCACTCCAGTTGTCTGCTGCACATTACTGTAGTTTGGACCCATGTTGTTGTGGGGAGGCATTGGACCCGCGTTGGGGGGTGGGGGGGCCCATATTGTTGGGAGTCCTCATGTTGTTGGCAGGTCCAGGCATGTTAGGCCCAGGATTTTGCCCAGCTTGATTAGGCATAGGAGGAGGCTGACCCCTGTTCTGAAAATCTCGGTTCTGCATATTTTCCCTCCTCCTATCAAAGTTCCTTGATCTGTCATAATTTCGAGGTCTGTCATTGCGTCTGTTTCTCTCATTTGCTCGGCTATTGTTTCTTATCCATTCCTCATGGTACTTGGGATCATATGGTACTGCTTCACCATTAATAAAAGGTTCTCCTGCCAAAACAAAAAATAACAAGAAAGCAGACAATCATGTATAAATGGATACTTTATTGCCGAAAAACTAATTGAAAACAAACGAATAAACAGGTAGACAATGTACAACAGAATGGCAGTTTAAGATTACTATACTATCAGTATTAAAAAGGCAATTACTATCATACCCAGCATTCAAAAAGCAGTTATGCGAACTTCCAAGGCTAACATTGACTGCCTAAAAGGAAAATTTTCATCATCGAATTCCAGAGACCAAAACTGTCTTTTTTTCTTTTGTGCACCCCAGAAGCAACTACACAGAATTATAAATAAAAACCAGAGATAAGAAGAGTGTATTATCCTCCAATTAAACTAAATTCCTTTCACCTCTCGAGATACCAGGTTAAACACAAAGCTTTACACAGTGATCACCCAATTTCTTTGGAGCTGATGTTTCTTGGTCTACAAGCTACAGGTCATCATGGGCAGTCTTGTTACTTCATTTTGACATCTCTATAATATCTTGACATACGTCACACACACAACTAACTAAGCACTAATATTTTGTAATAATAAAGGAAATTTGAACATCCATCCGGGGTTTTGATTCTTACGGATGTCAGACAAGTTTGCTTTAAAAGAGTCATCTGATACTAAATCAGATAACAGCATAATAGTTTACTGCTATTCGTTCTACATAAGCTTCATTTTCTTCCCCAAATAACAACTCCAGGCTTGACTAGGAGTGTAGGCCTTCACAAGCGCGCTAGATAATCTGAAGCAATCCAATAGTGACACCTAAATTCTAGATATAACATCTACAGGCTAATGTTTAAAATCACAACCATGTGATTACTGCATGCTTCTGCTTGGTTATTGATAGTCTATTAATATCATATGGTCTTTCGACAAGGTTATATAGTAATGAAGGAACACACATATCCCTATAAATAACTAAGTAGAGATTCATTGGAGATATCCAAAACCACTCATACAAATGTCTAAACAAAACAATGAAAACCCAATTGTGTATTTCCATACTTGATCAGAAATTTCACTGACAAAAACCTCAAATAATCCAAACAACAGACTGCAAACACATCAAATTCCTATCAACCAATATCAAATTAAAATGTTGAAGAAACACACAGGTTACCAATTCAAGGACAAACTAAATCAATTAACACATAATAGCAGCACAGGGGAGCTAAGCAATCATACTGATTATGGTGAAAGGCTAACAAAACCAGGACTGCAATCGAGAAGAGTCCAAAAGGAGCCCAGATTCAATACGAAAACCCCCTTTGAAACAGGCGCCGATACTCGGCTCGCGACAATGATGATCTCCTGTACGTGCTTCTCGCTCGCCGTGCGACGTCGCTTTGAAGATCGCCACCTGAAGGTTCGGCACTAGGTTGATCGCTGTGGTCGCGATGCCGATGCTCGTCTAGTCCTTGGCGATCACTAATTTTAGTATCACGGTGGAAACAAAATATCAGAAAATGGCAAAAATATAAATGTAACTCTTATATTAGTCATGCTTTTAGCACATGGGCTTACTAATTGGTCTTTAACAAAATAAAATTTAAAACTCATCCACCTTATCTAAAACAAAAATAGGTAATGTAGCACATGCTAATTACTAAAGTTTTTTGTGGCTAAACACTAATTTTTCTTCTTTCTTTTCACATAACTATTTTTGTACTGTTATTCTTATGCTTGACCTGTTTGAAATGGTTGCTTTCGTTAATTTCATTATAGGGTAGTGAGAATGTTGAAAGGAACAATGATTCCTCTGTCAAAAGAATCAATCCATCTTCAAAATGCTCGACAGGAAGCGTATAAAACATGGGAAGATTTGTATGTATGTGAACCTGTTCACTTGCCTTTGCGGCGGCGTTTTGTCTCATCGACGTAGTCCCTAGGCAAAACTTTAAAACATTCTGATGCCCTGCTCAATTGTTTGCTTACCCGCTGTTGTGTTCATATATATGGTTGGAGGTTTTACAGAGAATTTGTTGAGGGTTGACCCCAATCTCTGGTTTGAAGAGATGTTCCCTGTGCTGATCTAAAAGCCATGAAACGCTCTTTAAAATACCACATATTCAGATATGATTCTGCCCAATCAATGACCTTTATTGATATAGGTCGACAAAAGAATGTATCAAGGCAAAAACAAACATGAAGGCTTCAGCTCCAAAAGTCCCTCAAGGCTTTCAAATGAAAAAATGCATCCAGCCATCTAGCCGCCACAGAGAACTATATGTACCCAACAGACTGTCAGACTCAAACAATCACTACTGACAGAACTATCTCAAAGCAGTTGTAGACATCCCCCTAATTTTTGCAAACTCCGTTATCATGAAACTCATTTTGACATATTTATTTAGAAACTGAGTGAAAACTTGGAAGAAAACTAGCATTACATAACACCTGCATTATGTGAAGGTTGCAGAACTCAGTGAAGTGATTGCCTCATGGTTTTGGCTACATTATGTGAAGTTAGAAGTTAGAACCTCCAATTGATTATGCATGAGCATCCGAGGATAGTTGAAGGGGAGCATGCTGCAAAATCCATGACAACAGTAGAAAACTACTGACTCTCACCGCCCTACAAATCACATACATATCGCCTATTGTCATACTGGCACTAAGTTCCAATTTCATTAATAACTTAAAAAACATGCTTGTTTATATACTTGAAGATGGTTTAATGTAGCATCTGCAGAAATACAAGGTCCATTAACATATAATTACAATCTTCAAGAGTAGGTTGTTCTGATACCCAACAAATAAAATAGTGCAATGCATGACTATCCAAAGTGAATAAATAGAAGCATGCATTCTATTGTATTTCTACGGGGAACCCCAAGCCATCCTAAACCCTAAACTCACAATAGAAACCCCCACTGTGCGCGCACACGTACACACACACCAATAATCTCACCTTCTTAATCAATATCAACAATCTCACCTTCTTACTCAATATCAATAATCTCGCTATTTGAGTCATCCTCAAGAATGTTGTATGCTGCCCGAATCAAACTATAAACTAGAGAGAAAATGTCACAAAAGAAGCACAAATGTATACAAAATCGAAATCTAGACAATCCCCATTACCATTCAAATTTGTACACTGAATACTCAGATTAGCAATTTGATCAAACTCAAAATGAAACCAAAGAAATTTGCACACATAGGTATTTCGTATATTTAAACAGATTGAAAGGCATGAATTCTTGCACCATTTTCCACATAATTTAACAACCAAACTACCAAAGCTCAGTCTAACACGAGTTCAGCTGAAGCAGCACATACAAACTCAAAATGAAGCCAAGGATCAAGCTTACTTGCCAAATTCCATGACAAAAATTGAAAAGTTGCCTTAAACCTGGAGACTCAAGGGCATTTGCGGCATTTTCAGTGAGCTGTAGTTGCTGCTGCAGCTGTTGTAAAATGGACTTGCGCTGAAGCTCACCATTGCCATTTGTTGATTCCAACAGTGCAAATAACTACCCAGAATTTAAAATCAGTCAACCATTTAAAAAGAAAGAAGAAGAAGAAGAAGACTTAAAATTGAAATGAAAATTCATGACTTACAGCCAGCGCCGACAAAATAAAGCAGACGAAGGAGCTTTGGCGCTGGGGGGCCCGCTAATTCTTCTCCACTCATTGCTCTTCTCTTCTTCCTATTACAGACTCTTCTGTGTGAGAAGTAGAGAACTGAGAAAGACGACGACGACCCGTTTTAGTCCGAAACTGAAATGGGTCGGATCATATCGAACTCGGGTGTTTATTTATGCATGTACAGCCTGGGCCTTGAAGGCCCAAACACAATACTTTTATTATTCCAAATGTTGGTTTTGGCCCAAGATGGCAGAAAAAACTTCTCTTTTGAGACTTTGAATTAGAATTTGCAGATAATTGAAGGAGACTTTGATTCCATATCTTGGCTTTAAAAATTCATCCGATGCCTCTTGTGCATATTTTTAGTGTTTTTTGCTGTGATTTCTCACTGTTTATTTTTGGGAATTTGAAATTTGTGACCCTTGATTTCTTAATACATGGAAGTTATTTTTCCTAGTCTAATATGAATTAATAGAAAAGATTTTTATAACATGAATACATCAACGTATGGCTTGACTGTTATCAATTTCAACATTTTGCTCTTCACAACTCAATTCTGTGTTATTTTTTATGGAGTTAATGAATATGAATAAAGTGAGACGGAGAATTGAGTTTCAGGGGGTAAAGTGTGACAAATTGAATTTTAGATGGCAAAGTGATATTCAAATTGAGTTTCAAGGGTCATATCAATAATTAATCCTTTTAAATTTTTCATTGTGCCATTTGTGTAGAAAGGATTTCTTTGTGTATGACTACTGCTTGTCAGTGATGCGTGATATTTTTTTTATGTAGTTGCCTTCGTGTGGGGCAAACAACTTGGAAAGGACTATACTCCAATTTTCTTAGAAAAATTTTCAACAAGAAAACAACTTGGACCTTGATTGATATAGAAGATGCGCTGGTATCACATATCAGCTGCCTTAAAAATAAAAAATGAAAATTCAGTATAAGAAGATCTTCGCTTGAGGACGAAGTTCAATGCAAACTTTAAAATACACAAGGTCATCGCTTTGGTTTCATTTGTGGAAATCTCTCTTCCACGTACAGATGGGTTTGGATAAATTGTGTTGTGTGGTTATGGCAGCTTATAAACCTGTCATTTTGTGCAACAGTGGGGGCCCTAGAGACAGTTAAAAATGGTGAAACATGATTTCTTTGTGATTGTAACCCAAGAGAGTTCTCCCTTGGCTATGGCTAAACTTATCCAAGACCCGCAGATTGCGCAGAGAATGGGCATAGAAGCGCGACGGCATGTGACAGATTCATTCTCTACAAAAATATTTGGTCAGCATTTGAACAAATCAATACCTTGTTGACGTTGCTTGGACGAAAGAAGACTCTACTGAAGACTGCATGACCTTGCAGCATAAGTTGTTCAATTGAATCAACTCAGAGACTGATATATTAATTTGTTGGGTTTAATATATCCATCAATTTACTGAGTGTGTGGCTATTGGTGAAGGGATTTCTAGATTAGTTATGTTTTATGCCTTTCGTCTTTTGGTCCTGTAGTTAACAGATGCTAGTGATTTGTGAATGAAGAGAGGGAAGATTTGCTACGAAGGTTGTTCTGCTTCTCCTGCAGTTTAACATCAATAAGGACGTCAATGTAATGTTGGATAAGGCTTGACTGCCACTGTCATTCTGAGGCCATATATATTCGAGGACTTGTATCAACAAACAATAATTCGAGAACTAGACCCAACTATTGGTTGGATTTTTGGACCTCTATCAACTTTTCTATGAATATTATCCCTTCAAAATAAACAGAAGGGTTGGAAATGAAAACAAAGGATTGTGTGGAGATCCATTGCTATTTGTTTTGGCAGACTTGGGAAGTGGGTTGGTAATGAAAACGAAGGTTATGCATGCATCATGTTAATTTTTTTGTTCTTTTCGTCTTGTTCCTTTCTTCTACCTTGGTCCGTGTCTTCTCTTTCTACTATTTTGTTTCCTAAGTCTCACTTGATTGAACATGATTTGTTTGACAGATCGAACAATCCATTTACTGTTTGACAATAACAAGAACAAAGTGCAACCAACAACACACTAGGAGATGTCGTCTTGGGAGTGTCGAAACCAATAGCTATTGGATGCCTTTATCGGTCCATACTTGACTTAAACAGAGGGCCAGGTAACATCCAGAGTGATTAGCAAAGACCAAAGCACAGATGGCATGGCCCAGCAGAGACATATGATAAATTGCGGTACTTTATCTCTTAACATATGACTATTAGGTCATTGGAATATGACTTTTAGGTCATTGGAGGATGACTTGACTTCAAGTCAAATAAGTGTGAAACTATATATGTAGTCTTGATGCTTAACAAAGATCAAATAACATGTATCTGAATCAGAATGCCTTATTTACGGAGTAATTGGACGACTTGACTTGGAGTCGAATGAAGCAATAGCTCACTTGAAGTCTGCACATGTTCTGGCAATGTTAGTACATACAAATTCCAAAGCATCGTTGTTTCCCATTCCCATCTTGTTTGAAATTTATTCCAAGTCCCTTCCGTTCTCTCTCTCTCGCTTTCAACCCTCTTTTTTTTTTTGGCCTGAATCAGTCCCACCCCCCACCCCCACCCCACTGCCTTTTTAATTATCTCTCTCTCTAAATCAAGCTCTTTTTTCTGTTTTCTATGGCTGGTGAATTCTCGGGAAGGTAATTCAGAAGGGGGAGAAAGCCACGAAAATGAAACCGACCTCAAAAGTATTTTTATGTTTTGTGAAGATTTAAATTAAAACTATTGATTTACATTTTATAATTCACCAAAAGTATTGAAATACGAAGACTTAAAATTCATTAACCGAATTGAATGACTAATAGTTAGGGAGTAATATTAAATAGTTATTTATTAGAGTTATTTACACTAACACCCCTGAGGTTTCTTATGTTTTCACAAAATCTCCACCGGTCACAAAACTTACACGAACACCCCCTAAAGTTTCAGTTTGTTTTCACTAAACCCCTCTTTGTGGATTTTTTGTCCAAAAATTGATGATTTCATTTAAATATATAAAAAAAGACTTATGCAAATGACAAAATTACCTCAATAAAGTATATGCAATCTAATTTCAAAGGTCAATTTTGTCATTTGGAGATTTGTTTTGTGCAAAATCATCAATCTTTGGATGAAAAATTAATAAAAGGGAGTTTTGTTTTAAAGCCGAAAACCTAGAGGGGTGTTAGTGTAAATAACTCTTATTTACTATGCAAGTATATATGCAATGCCATTTGATTATGCCATCCATAAATAGATAGCTCTTTCACTTTCATAGATGGTTATTTAGCTTAAGAGGGCAAAGAAAGAATATTTTAAACATAACCTTTGAGGCCCACATGCCAAAGCACAGCAGCAAGGGAATTCCAATCCAAAACACATTAATTTGGATTTCTTCTCTAATATCAATTGCACATTCACATTCAGCAGATTTTTTATTTTTTATTTTTCTATATTAGCAATAGACATTAATCTTCGTTACTGAGACAGACATCAATCCTTCACAATATATGCATCAGTTTTCATATCTTTGGACTGAGTAAATAAAAAGTACAATATTAATAATATATATATCTATCCTCTAAGCCTTCTTTTCATCCTATTCAGG